TCATCATCATCATCATCATCATCATCATCATCATCATCATCATAATAATCATAATAGTGCCATTACCAAAAAGCTGGAACCATTGTGGGAACAGAAAAATATATTGCCAAAAGTTAAAAGTAATGAAAGGGAGTAGTACAAGCAGTATACTGCTGAAGGAGGTGTGAAAGTGTCCTTTCGTGTCTGTGCCTTAACACCAAGGAGGTAGTCCCCACACTGTTTGACCATGGTTTGTGTCTAAATGGGAGTTTTGTGTTCTGTTCTGTTTTCAGTTTTTTGCCTCCCACTTTCACATGCTGGTTAAGTTTAGACTCTGAAAATTATATTTGGGGGGTATCAAGTTTGTTTAGCAAGTGTGCACATGTGAGTGGTTGGTTCACTATTATAACTACAGAGTAGAGGTGAAAGGAGGCCTTCTGCAAATCACTAACACAGGAGTGTGTGTGATGCACTAGAAATGAAAACAAGCTGCCTAAACACCATGTTAATGTTTTTCTTTATTTCACATTTTTCCAGCTGTGGACTTCTTCAACCAGATCAACATGCTGTATGGCACCATCACAGATTTTTGCACTGAGGAAAGCTGTCCAGTCATGTCTGCTGGTCCTAAGTAAGTGATTAAAACTCATAAAACTAGCCCATGGGCTATTCTTCAGTCTTTGTTGTGTGACGAGACTGAGCAGGGTCAGGATTTGGAAAATGCACTTGTCTTCATAATCGTATACACCCTGTGACATAGATCTTTTTGTTTTGGACTCCCGCTGTCACGCTGTGTAGATTTGCAGCAGATGTCTTTTATGTGCTGATAAAAATTTAGATTTAATTCTACAAAGGAAAAAACGCCTATTAGAAAATGTTTGGTGACTAGCATCAACTCTTACTTGAACCAGGACCACTTGTATATTATCTGCTTATTGAGAAAGACCACTTTGCTACAGTTGATTACATCAGTGTTGAATAAGTCCAGATGGAGACCATAACGGGGTTTTTCCTTGCTCAGAATGGGCCTCTGGCTAGGGACTGCTCGCATAAGCGTGATTAGTGCTTGTAGTTACTGAGCCACACAGGCCAGTTTGATCTCAGCTGGGCCATACTAATAAAACAATCGCACGATAACATACCTTTCATTTAATATACAGAAGTTTACGTTTAAAGATCCACCTATTAACAAACAAAACACACGATTATGTGTGCATTAGATGTGCAGAAATCATTTTTCTCCTGTTTCTGAGAATTTGATTAACATGAATATTCATTATGCTCAATTAAGCTTTTGTTATAACACTCGGGATTTTCTTCCTTCTCTTTTGAGTCAGCCAAAAATTCCTCTTGGTATAAATGTGCTCAGTGTGTTTTTCATTGTTATTTCCTGTAGGTATGAGTACCACTGGGCTGATGGAACCAACATCAAGAAGCCCATCAAATGCTCTGCTCCCAAGTATATTGATTACCTCATGACTTGGGTGCAAGACCAGCTCGACGATGAGACGCTTTTCCCTTCAAAGATTGGTATGATTCGCTTTGTAGTTTCTACCAGCCTTCACCTCCAAAGAAAAGTTATCGTTTTAATGCACATGTCGTACATCAAACAATAAGGTGTGTGGAGATTCAGAATACATGCACAGCCTTTTTTATTACCAGAGAAATCCAGCTCCCACGCAAAATGAATGCATGCAAGTAATAGAAATGATGAACTTAGTAGAAATGTGAACTTTTCAAGTTTTCCTTATTTAAATGTAGCGGTGCATTTGTCTTTTTTAATTTTATGTAATAACCTAACACATTTAGAGATCTTCCTGGATGACAGTGTACAGGATTGTTAAGTGGTAGTATTTGCATACCTACAGTTATCAGCCTCATAACTAGTTGTGGCGTGTGCAGTCTAAGGTGGAGTATTATTGCTATTGAATGGCAGCCAGCATAAACTGCAGTCTGATAGACCCAGTACATATCAGTAGAAGTGGTGAGTGTGCTGCCCTGGAGGTACACAATTCACTCCATTGCCTATGATCTGTTGTTCACTTGGCCAGAAATAACCTCAAAACCTGCCAGCATCTTCAAGGTTCCTTGGAGGTGTGTGTTGTGATGAAGTACCCATTGCACACATGTTAAAATCAATTCGGGGCTCAATAAGCGTGCATTCATTTGTTCAGCATCTGAAGCTTTAATTTACTCGTCCTGGTGTCTATATTGACTTGTACGGTAGGTGGCTCTCTGTAGAAGCCTCTGTGCTCTGCAGCAGTTTATTTTAGTGTTTAGTGTTGAAACTAAAACTTTCTTTCCTGCAGATGAATCCTCGGCACAGTGAACATGAGGTGTTGCTGTGTTACTTTCATGACTCTTTGTGCTTCCCTAAGATCATGCTGTGGCCTGCCTGTGCAGACTGCAGCATTTTCACAGGCAGACTGTAATGCACCTGCATGTCAAGCTCTCTGGTGTTTTTTCGAAACACTTTCCTTCTCTTTCTTTTGTTCCCAAGGCGTGCCCTTTAAGCGTAATTTTATGTCTGTGGCGAAGACCATTTTGAAGCGTCTGTTCAGGGTCTACGCCCACATCTACCACCAGCACTTTGACTCCGTCATGCAGCTGCAAGAGGAGGCCCACCTCAACACATCATTCAAACACTTCATCTTTTTTGTTCAGGTAAAGAATCCCTGATATCTGACTAATGCGGCACGTTGCTAACAAGGGCTGTAGCGTGTCGAGTCATGGGGTAATGCTTGCTCCTTTTTCTTTTGTCTTTCACAGGAGTTCAACCTCATTGACAGGAAAGAGCTGGTCCCACTACAGGAGCTGATTGAAAAACTGACAACCAAGGATAGATAAACAGCCCTGTAATCCTTATTTTATTGCTCTTCTAGTTTTTGCACAGATACCCACCCACCCCCACCCTGGCTATATGTATGCAGTATGTACTATTTCCATTTGGGGAAATGTTTTTAATAAGGCCAGGAAGAAGGAAGGGTGTTGTTAGGTTAAAGGCACCAGGACTAATGCTATCAGGGATTAAGTTAATTGAGCAAACCACAGATTAACATTAGCTGTATGGGGGGAAAAAAAGAAATTTCCCTTATATTCTATCACGGCTTACTTTAAGATAAGATGGATATATGTTTATTAATTTTCTACCTGACTGCACAGATGTTTTCTTTTTGTCCCACTTGAATTTAAGATAACATACTATTAGGTTCCAGCTCCATCATAGAAGAGAGTAGCGATTAAGCAGAGATGCTGTATCATAGGGTGGTGTGATAAATAACTGAATATTATTGGTTTATTTTAACATTGATTTGATTTGATCTAGGTTTGCTACTGTCCACATCTGTAATATCATAACATCAGTCACAAAAGAATCCTAAGTGCCTAGCATGGCTCATAATTGCCCTAGTATATCAAAGGCCATATAACACTGATGTGATTGATTCATTCAATTTTCCTCACCACGTCCCTTTTAAGTTTGTGGTTCTTACACCCCCACCCCTATTTTTTTTTTTTCCTTTGTGTCCTGTAACTTGGCTCAGAATTATTTCTTTATTTCTTCTGCTCCTCGTCGACTTTATTTAGTTATAAAGTCTTTTGGCCAAGTTTTATAATGTGCAGGCTATGATACATGAATGTGTTGTGAAGGACATAGAAGTGAAGCTAGAATGATGTTATGCTGTAGCAGGGACTAAGAAATGACGAATCTTGTAGCATGGTCTAGTAACATGTCCCTGTGTACTAGTTTTTCCCCTTCAAAAACTTTGAAATAGTAACAGGTTTTAGAAGAACTTTGAAGGGATGAAAAACCCGAAATTGTAGGGAAATAGATGTAGAAATCTGTGTTTAGACTCCACTGTTTGAGACATGCTAGCATTATGAATTGGATACAGCAGAATCCCTTGTTATCATACTGGCTGTAAAGCACTTTGAACAGTGTTTCTGATCTCTATTTTTTGAATGTTTTCTTCCTCCTTGCCCCATGCCCCACCCCCACATGGATTGGCTGTGCTTTGGGAGAAGCTGTACCATGTGACTGACCATAGTTTATTTCATTTAACTCCCTCTTAAATTAGCTGAAAGGCACAAGTGAGACTTCTTATTGCTTTCTTTCTTGACTGGTTTGTTGTTGTGGTGATTCGAAGAGGAGATTCATGTACCTTTCTCCAATCGCAAAGTGTAGTTTTTGACTATGCAATAATTGACACGACACTAAAAGGGGATGCCAGTTGGCTCATTCATACTTTATATCCAATATTGAGATTTCTTTATAGGTCTTCTGTTTGGGTGAAGGATGCATACAGAAGTGCTTCTCTGTCAGGTTAAGTTAAAAAAACAAACAAAAAAAAAAAAAAAAAAAAAAATGAACGGTGACATGAATATTTTATATCTGAAATTTGTCAGAGGTATAACACTTATAAACGCACATGTGTAAATACTGAGAGTTAGACACGTCTTGGAAGTTTCAGTAAGCATGGAGTGATAGTTTTTGGTTAAACGAGTGCATTTATACCTTTTAGAGGCTGCTTCCTTCTCCCTTTCTTTGGATATTAAAATCTTGTTTGTTTTGATTGTTCAGTATCTTCTCATTTCCAACTTACTTAGCTTATTATGATGAATGTTACTGCTCACCAGATATCTGAAAATGTAATAGAATATCGGTCATCCTGCAAGCATCTCATCCTTATGAAATGCCCGAAACATAGCCTGTTGCCTATGGTTTTTCCTCCTCGACTGAAGTAATTGGTGAATTGTCTGTAAATAAAGGCTTGGTAGGGGTTTTCAATGCTACTGAATTGATTTATGCTGTTTATAAGGCAAATAAAGGTGGGCTTGACTCTTTGAAAAACTTGTATGTTCATTATGTACTGTGAGCTCAGCGCTACTGGTGATCAGAGTAAAGCATTTAATAAAGTACTGTACTCAAGTACAGTTGTAACCTTTTTTTTTTTTTCCCTTTTTTTTTAAACTGCTTTATGCTGCTTTTCGTGTCTGTGTGTGTCTGTCTTTAAGAAAATAAAAGAAACCCAACTATTATCAAAATGAAACTTTCCCGGTTAGGTATTTTGAGTTTCTGAAATGTTTAAATCACATGGCACCATTATTGTGCAATAGCAATAATAGTATTGCAGTAAAGTGTACTGCAATTTATCACTTCCTTTGCCAATATGTGTTTTATCCAATAAGACACACTTTACTCTTTATCAAGGTGCCCTGGTCTTGTGGCTGTTTTTCAGCACAGGACCTGGGCACCTTCCAGTCATTGAGTTGATCAAGAACATCCCTGAATACTGAAGTATTCTGGAGTAATATGTGAGGCTGTGCAGCCAGATGATGATCCCAAGCTCAGCAGTACAATTATTGAAACAGGAAAGAATCAAGGTGCTGCAATGGCCCAGTCAAAGTCCAGACCTCAACCTGACTGCGATGCTGTTGAGAGGCGTTAAGAGAACTGTGAATAAATGTAAATAAATGTCTACAAATCTCGCTGAACGGAAGCAAGGTCGTAAAGAAGAGTGGGCCAAAATGCCTCCACAACAACATGAGCGAATGATAAAGTCATAAGAAAAAGATTGCTTCAAGTTATTGCTGCTAAGAGTGGTTATACAAGCTATTCAGTCAAGGTGTGTAACATGGAATAACTGCATTTAAACTATAGTACAATGTTCTCAATGAAAGAAGACATCTAATAAAACTTAAATAGCCCCAAGTCTCTAAATTGACCTGCACTGCTCACGTAAATGCTGTGCGATGCTGCAAATTTTGTTATCAATCTCATGCGAAGTACATACAGGGACAGTCTTGCCGTCTATAAAGGCAGTTTATGTAGAGGAGAGCAATGTGTCATGATTTAATAAAATAGATGTGGCAATCAACACGAAAGGGTTCAGACAATTTTCATAGCGTGTTTGATGGGGTTTTTTCACTGCCAAAAGAATAAAAAAATATATAATACAGTTCAATGGGCTAAATATTGAACTTGGAGCACAGAAACAAACCATCAGTCTGATACCAATACCAGCGTTCTTATCGATATTATTGGTATTTAGATCGATCCGCTGAATGACTTATTCGTGGACTCTGGTTCCACCCACTTATACCTCACATTGCGTCTTTAATGCAGTTCAGAGAAATATTTTGAACCTTTTTACTAAAAACGTGTGTATTTTTTTATACTAAACAAATTTTACATATAAAATACAATGAAATTAGATATTTGAAAATACTGTTGGACTACATTATTGTAGATATCAGGATAAAAACAGTTGCACGGTTCACCAGTTACAACATTGAACTCGTGTTTACGTATCCATACGTGATTATATAATACAATAATTCAAAGCTCAAAGGACTTTACTTTGGGGAAATGAGCGTAATGCTAATTTATCTGTCTGTTTCAGTGGGAGTTACATTTGTTTCTTCTTCTTCTTCTTTTAATTAGTGACGTAAGCAACAGCTGCTTCCGGGGCGGATACACGGCTGTGCTAACTTCCGCTTCCTAACGTTGAGCGCGAAATCTAAAACAACAAGCTGACATCCTAGCAGCTGCCACAACATCCTAAGGAATATTTTAAAGATCATTTTAAAAATATTTAATAATTTTTGCGAAGATGTCTTTTACTCCAAAAAGGCCATGCCCAGACCCAATGAACGACTCGATGGAGAAGAGAATAAAGCGGATTTCTATCGAGGGGAACATCGGTGAGTGCTGCAGCTTATTGCAAAAGTCACATTTGACAAAACAAAAAGTTCAGTGTAAAGGTTTAATGTCCGCAGATGGATGTCAGGTGCTGCTCGGGGTACCTGTGTGTAACAGTATACAGCTTCAGACGATGTACTCCTGACGTACTACTTTTGCCGCCAATTTGCTACTAGACTATTCTTCTTCTAAGAAAATATTAAACGACATTGCACCTGTGTGACGCATAGCTAGGTCGATGCAGTACGCTATATGACACGAGTGAACTTTAATTTGTGCTTCTTTTGCGTTCAGCGGCAGGCAAATCTACCTTTGTTCGCCTCTTGGAGCAGGAGAGCGCGGACTGGGAGGTGGTACCAGAGCCGATCGCCAGGTGGTGCAATGTTCAAACAACTGGCAGCGACTTTGAGGTATTAAAATAAAATAAGATTCTATATTAGAGTCGTTTAAAAAAAACTTTTCTGATGTTTACATAAAATCTGCTTTCTTGACAGTTTATGACAAATTTGTGAGTAATTTAATAACCAGCACATTATCGTGCATTCAGGAAGACGTAATAACTGGGGAGACTCCCCATCTGTATTTAGAGTGCAGTATCTGCGTGGCCACACACCCAGAGGGACAGATAGTCCCACCGTGGGCGGATGAATGTATCATCATCATCAGGCCAAACATCTGACACCCCCCCCCCCACACACACACACACACACACACACACACACACACCCCCACACACACACACACACACACACACACAACTGGCGACCTGTAACCTCACTTTCAGCCTAATATTCATGGTCTCTACATGCCATAAGGATCCCCCCACCCTACCCCCAGCTACCAAGCAGTGAGAGGGATATTGAGATACTCTTCTCCATATCAACCAAAGATGCTTAAACAAGTGACTGGTGTGTTGCATTTGCACTGTTGTTATATTATGGATGACTGGATACAAGTTACCAGTCATTCATAATAAGTTAGGTAGATCCTTCATTGTTACCAGTTTTCATTCAGCCCAGCATCGCCAGCAGAGGTTGGAATCATCAGACAACCCACGATATATTACCACAATATGATGTTATTGTGATTTTTTTTTTTTTTAAATTATTATTTTGATTGTATTGCAGTAACATATACTGCAATTTATCACCTTTTTTCAAAAGTGATGTCCTCAAACGAGTGAACTTTAATTTGTGCTTCTTTTGCGTTCAGCAGCAGGCAAATCTACCTTTGTTAGATTTGCTAGATTTGTTCATAAGATTGTCAGTATCTGTCTTGTCCAGTATTTTCACTTTGTGCTGCAACACCAGCTTGTCGAGTATACCAACGCTGTCAGTAAAACCTGCCAGGAATGTTGCCATAAGACGGACAGACTAGGGTCATGGTTGCAATTACATGCAAACTGTTTGTGATCATTCAGGAATTAACTGTGGAAATGGTTGAAAGCCACACATTTGTTGCCGTCTGCGTAGACAGGAAGTCACATTTATCTTTTTTACATTTGCAGAAAGGTTGCTTCCTATCAGGCAACTGGTGCAGTTGCCCTGCAGTCAATTAAAATTAGTTGTGAGTTCAACATCCTCAAGCTCATTTAGTTACCACTAGTTGCAATTTGTTGCAGAATGTGTGTGTGGGGGGGGGGACCTACTGCTAGTGGCCAGTTTAAAGAAGCTAAACACTTCAAATAAAAATATATCATATCAGCTCACATGTACACTTTTTGTTGGTAATCCAATAAATAGTGCAAAATGGTGTCGGCATGCTGTAAAATGATAGTATGCAGGCACTATCAGAATACACTGCTTATGCTGAACCATTCAAGGGTCCTCAACAAGTCTCCACTACTGCCACAACTTTTAAAGGCAGTGGTCAAAGCGCCCTCTGCCAGTCACTGGACAAAGTATTTTTGGAGAGCAATGCCAGTGAGGAACAAATCAAATTTAGAAAAATAGTTTAGTGCTTTTCTTATTTACTCACTTACTAAATGTGGGCTGAGATGTTTATGGAAAAGCCAGCTTTGTTCAGCAAAAGACAAAGCTTAAATGATTTACAATACATCGGTAAATAATAATAACTATCACTCGTATATGACACATTAAACTGTATAAAGTAAGATGCCTCGGATTGTCTTAAAGGACCTGAGTTCAGTGCTTTAAAAAGACAGCATATGTGGCATAAAGTTGTATTCTGATATTTGCAAGATCTAAAAAATGTTATTTTGGGGAAAGGTAAAGAAACGTGTGCAAAGAGTTTCCATCAGTAGAGCTTGGTTGGTAAAAAATCAAATAGCTGCTGCTTTACCCATGTATTCATCACATGCCTTTTTTTAAACAATGGGGCTATGTCACAGCTTACAGTGATTCACCTTTTTATTACACATGATGACAAAAGGCTGCATTTATTATCTCTAAGTCATGAAGGTGTGTAAAATGAAACAATGGGATTTTTATGTTCTAGGAGCTGACCGCATCTCAGAGGAGTGGCGGGAACGTCCTGCAAATGATGTACGAGAAGCCAGGGCGGTGGGCTTACACTTTCCAGAGCTACGCCTGTATCAGCCGGGTGCGTGCCCAGATCAGATCAGCCAACGGGAAGCTCAAAGAGGCTGAGAATCCTGTGCAGTTCTTTGAGAGGTCCATCTACAGTGACAGGTATCGGACCTATTGATGAATATGTACGCTTGATAAAAATATTTTTCTCATTAGAAAGAATAATGGTGGCAAACTGTGCAAAAGAGTTAAAATGACTACACAGAAAATACCTCTTTTTTTTTTTTTTTCTTTTTTTTTCTTCACTGTGAACACAGTGTAGGAATTTTTACCAGGCTTTAGAAACCTTTGTAAGAATTCACTTCTTTCCCACCACAGAAACCAGCCTCTGATTTATTTAACCCCCCAAAACAATTACAATTTAAAACATCCTGTGATAAATGAAACAGAATTGCTCATCCTTTTTTTTTTTTTTTTTTTGGATTCATTATATCTTAGGTACATCTTTGCAACCAACCTATATGAGAGTGAATGCATGAATGAGACCGAATGGTCCGTCTACCAGGACTGGCATGGGTGGCTGCACAACCAGTTTGGCAAGCACATTGAGCTGGATGGCATTATCTACCTCAGAGCCTCACCAGAGGTAACCTCCTCCTTTGTACTGCACACGTTTATACCTAAATGACAGTGTCATTTAATAGAAAGTTCTGCAATTTTCATCATTCATGATTTAAAAAAATTATAATAAAGGTCACAATAAGCAAAAAGTTCACAGTGTTCTTCTTCTTTGGTGTACAGAGATGTTTAGAGCGGTTACACCTGAGAGGTAGAGAGGAAGAGCAAGACATCCCTCCGGAGTACTTGGAGAAACTTCACTTCAAGCACGAGAGCTGGCTGCAGCACAAGACCCTGACGTAAGCAGACTGTTCAGTCAGAAACTGTGTGCATTTATATGAGGAAAACAGATGTACTTGTATGATAGGAGAGGCTTTGAATAAGCATTGGAAACCCCCTACTCCCCCATTCATGCAACAGCTGGAGGGGGGGAAGCAAAGGCTCGAACAGCGATACATGTGATCTTCATCTGCGTCATTGGCTTTGTGTGACGGGCTGTTTCTTTGCTCCATCATGTGTACATTTCCTTACAAAGTTTAATGTCTTCATTTCATTAAAAACAGTATGCAGTTTCCCACAGTGGGAAACTATAACGTCTCTAACTGCATGTTCTATATCATGTCTTCCCACAGCATGGAGTTTGAGTATCTCAATGACGTGCCGGTCATGACGCTTGACGTGAATGAAGATTTTAAGGGAGATAAAATCAAATGTGCTAACATGATCGAGAAGGTTGGTACCGTTTCAGCCTGCGTAAAGATCAGAAATCATCAAGTAATGCTTTCATTACTTTTCATATACTGTATTTCCATGTATGTTTTTGCACGTTTCAATAAATCGCTGCATCTGCCTCATTTTCCTAGCAAAATGGAAATAAGCAACGAGTGGCTCAACAGGTTTGAGCAGCACTGTGTCAAAACACACTACTGTAAAAAGATGTTTCAAATTTACTCGCTTGCTGTTATAAAAGAAGACAGTTTGGGCAAAATGCTGCATGAGACTGAGTTTCTTGTGATTCAGGGCTCAGTGATGCAATAAAATGCTTGAGCACTGGCATTGGTACTTTTACTCGAGTAAACACACACTGCGCTTGTTCATGAACCAGTTTCATGTTGATGCTATCAGCTGTGGTTAACTCAGGCACTTATTTTCACATCAGACACAAAAAACCCTGTTCCACACACAGCTTGGTGCTGTTACATAAACCCAACTGTTATCCAAGGAGGGGAGGGGAAAAGAAATCCAAAGTAATGATCTGTGCCTTTGTTGGTTTAGATTTTAATGCTAATTTGACGCCTTTTTTGTTTTTGTTTTTTTTGTTTGTAGGTCAAAGAGTTCTTGAGCACGCTATGAGCACCACCACAAAGAAAAGAGTGAAGACTGGATGGCTTTTAAAGCATAGACAATGACAGTTACTTGTCTGTTCAATAACTGAAAAGAAAAGAAATTGGGGGTTTTTGGTTGTGGTTTTTTTTAAGTGTTGTGTATTTATCAGCATTAATGTGCACAAATGAGATTGTAATGTATGTCCACTGATAACAATGACAGTAAACTTGTTATTTTTTTCCCCACCGATTGCACAAAATCAAGTGTCACACGTGTTCTTTCTCCGCTCCAAATGTTTCTTGGCACTCTGTGCAGCTCTTCCAGAAGATGTCGCCAGTCTCCATTAAAGCTGCCCGGCTATTTCTGAGCGCTCAGCCTGCCTTGACCTGGTAGCTCCAATAGGATTTGACTAAAGCTATCTGACATTAGCTTCTTTCATTTTTACTTTTAATGCCTTTTTAAAAAGCACAGAGTAGAATGGATCACCAAGGTGAAAACATCTCATGACTTTTTGTTTGCTTTTGCTCTTTTTGGTCCAAAATAAATACCCATCCTCAGCAAGTGTTCAAATGAATTATTTAAGTGTAACTTTTAGAATGTTGTTAGCAGGATTTGTTTATATATTTCCTGTTAAGCAATAAAAAACTGATTTTGCATGTTTCTGTCTATGGTCAAAGTTGTTTTAATGAAGTAATGGGGAGCCAATTTGTCAAGTTTTAGTCTTCTGCGCGCCTCCCAGCGCTAATGGTCTGACCTCCGCCCCTGTGGCGTCACGCAGGAGGAGGGATGGTACTTTAAATATGGGGAAAGAAACGCTACACACAAAGACTCCCGTGGCACTTCCAAACAGGCGCTTTGGACAAGATGTTACCTTGGCCTTGCGTGTGCGTTTCCATTTAGATATGTGGATTGTGCTTTTCGCGTTAGGTTTGATTTGTAGGGTCGCAGAAATCATCCCAGCGAGATAGCCGCAGCTCACGTACTTTAGTTTTAGGCACTTTGGGAGCGCAGCAGCTAGATTAGGCAACCGTTCTCAAACACGCACGACTCGAAACTGACGAGGAGGACAGGTGGACGCCACGCTGATCAGCCGCCAAGGGGAAACTTGTCACCATGAGTTCCGACAAGAGCAAGTAAGTGTCTGATCGTCAAGTGTTAACTTGTGAAACTAAAAGCTATGCACGTTTGAAGTTTTACCTCGTAGCTTTCGGTCCTCGGGTTTTTGGGGAGATTTTGTTTTGTTGTTTCCTGTCAAGTGTTGAGTCGGTGAACGAGGCGTCAGGAATGTCGCTCACTAGAAAACGAAGTAGTCACGTTCAAAGCATTGTGCCAGTGTGCGTAAAGCTGGAACTTCTGTGGTTTCTGAGTTTAGTGGATCGCTGATGGCATGCCATAGTAGCGCCACGTGCAAGCTATTTATAAGAGTACTGATCTTTCTGAAAAGCGTTCATTCATTCCAGCGACAACCTTGGATAGATAAGACACACACCGTGGCTATGAACGGGCTAATCTATTTTCCAAGAAGCTGTCGCTATTAATTAGAGAGGAGGAGAGCGCAAGGCAAGTGTCGGAGATGTCTTGCATTGTATCTTTCTGAATAAAGCCGTGCGTAATGCGTAGTGCGCTAGACTGCACTATCCCCGTGGCGGACGGGTATGAGGGGGAACCCTCCCTCCCATCCACTGGGCCCAGTTGTATAGACTTCACAGTAATGTCAAACAGGGAAGATTCACGGAGTCTGCACTTTCCTTACAAGCATCTCATTCACGGTAACAAGTTATTTTAGATGGATGTTTTTGGCTTGAAAATGTAATTGCATCGGAATAGGCGAGGCACAGTTCCTCAGAGCGAGCGTGACGCCCTCTCCAAGTAACAACGAACGAAACCTGAAATGACCTATTGTGCCGTGCCATGTCAGCAGCAGAAATAAAAGTGACAGCCGATTCCTCGTTCTTGTGTCTTTCCCGGAGACAGACGTCTGGTTTTGTAACAGGGAAACGTTTTCTCTATTCTTTTTGTTCTGTTTCACCTGCACCTGTGTGAGCGCCTGCTGAAACTTAAAATGCTCTTTTGTGTTCTTCCCGTTGATGCTTTGACCAATGTGCCATTGAAGGAAATTCCAAAAGTTAAGGCAGAGCTGAAGGGCACCGAGCTAACTTCTGTTTGGTTATTACACAAGTCAAATAATCTCTTTGATTGTACTGGTGATATGGCCATTTATTTGTTTACCCATTTCACTTCACATTCAGGCTCCGCAGCGGTGTGGTAGTGGAAGCCCCACTTGAGTGTTAATTGGGTGGCTATATCTGAGGAATATTAAGCTGAAAATTATGTTGTGATAACAATACCAATATAATGGTTGTATTATTGCAACACTTTGATTAAAAATATATATAGGTATATGCTTCATATTATGGCCTACTCTCAGCCTGAGAAATTGCCAAATGGCCAATTATCAAGTTATATACCTAATGCTGATCACCTATATGTCTTCCTCTGTCCTTCAAGTAATGGTGCAGAAGTTAACTGCAATCAGCCAAATCTGCTTTTTTATGCTTGCCTGTTAAACTTTCATGTGGGTATTACCGCCCAGAAGATCAGCTTTAGCTTGAGTATCACTTTAAGGCTTGAAACTCACTGCTGTACACCTTTTTTCTTTCTTTCTTTCTGTTTTTTGCCCTGATGGCGCTGAGGGCATCTACCCTCATGGCCAACCTGGCTGGTTGGACTGGATGCGTCATTCTGTAAAGAGATGGGGATGATCCTTGATCCCAAACAGCTGATCCCGGCTCCTCACGCACTGACAGGTTTATCCAGACGCCTGAGGTCACTGAGAACTGAAGCAGAATCGAAAGTTCAGGAGTGAGAAATAGATGCAACTGGTCGCTCAGATCTTCACCCAGATTATTATTCTTATTATTACTATTCTTATTATTATTGATTAATCAAGAAGATAGAGCCATAGAAGGAAATGGGGGGGGGCAAGATCAAGTCGATTTCCTGCATTTAAAATGACTTGAATGAGGAGATGTAGGATCCAATCGACTATGTTGACCTGATTTTAAACTCGGCGAGTCATTTTGACTTTTCTGAGTTATACCAAAAAGCAGATTTAAAGTTTCTACTCTCTTTGAAGCACTTACCATATTTCTTTTTCCATTTGACACCCAATTCAAAACAGGAATGATGCGTTCCCCTCCTGCATCCAGGATGTCTGTAAACCACCTGTGGCCTGTTTCTCATGGTTAGTCGAGCCCTGTCTGAGGCCGCAGTGTGCAGTGATTAACACGGCTCTGTGAACTTGCCTTAGCCAGCAGTAAAACCTGAAACATGAGCTTTCTTTGCTCTTCTGTGTGCTCACCGGTTTCCCTGATGACCCTCTCTCTGTGCTACATGAGCTGCCTTCATGCATACTGCTGCATCACCAGTTCTTTGGTACCTGCTGCAGAAGTAAATACCCAAGCTGGGTTCTTAGAGAGATCCTGAATCATAGCTCCTGTCTGTACAGCCATTGTGCAAGATTGAATTAAAAGGGCCAATCTCATGTTTTTATAGCGTGTCACTTCTGATCGTTGTTAACATGTCTGCTTAGGTACAAGGTACAAAGAATACAGCATGGCAGAACCCAGCTCTTCTAAAGTTGGTGCTATTTTCTGGATGCTCTGTCCTGGGATGGAAGACGATGAGGACAAGTGGAACAGAACACTCAAAGCAATCAAGGCCTAAATGATAGTGTTGACTCTATGTGCACGGAACAGTGCGGAAACTTAACCTTGGTCACTTTTATTTATTTATTTTTTTCATATTTAAGAAAAAAAGAGCAACAAAAAGAAGGTACAGAGGTTAAGGATTGCATATAAACTTGGCACTTAACCCAACCACTCCTCGACACCCATTTGAGCTGGTTGCATCTGTTATCATCAGTGTTGTGCTCCTATGTTCTTAGGGCCAGAGATCATATCCACTAGGGAGATCCAGATGAGCTCGGAGTGCAATCAAAGGAACACGTTGTATCCTTCCTGACTTTGTTTATTTACGGTAGCGGTTTTGCGCACTGCTCCCATTCCTTCTGTGCTGTCTCATCGTTGGCCTCACATTGTTCAGTAGCAAATTTAAACTGCTCACGTGTTTATTTTGCATTCTTTGTATGCATCCCGAAGCAAATATTTATCTTTGGTTTATTGGAAAAAAAAATGCTGCCAAAGGAAAAACACAAATTTGATAGTGACACGCATATTTAGTTTTACTGCAGTTTGACGCAGTAAATTGACACACAGGCACAGGGTAAGTCCTTACTTACCCTTTATAGCTCAACACAGTGGAATATAAAGGCAGCCTCTTTTTTTTTTTTTTTCATCTTTTTATGGTGTATTGTTTTCTGTATTCAGTGTTGAAAATAATTATCCACATTACCAGGTGAGCTAAGTAGCAAGTTGGAAGCAAGACTGAGGGGTGGCTTGAGACTTTTTATCCCCAAGCAAAACATGACTGTCTACCTGGTGGAGCAAGCAAAGCAGTGAGACGTTTTTTGTAGTTGGTCACCAGGTTTGGAGACTGACTAGGCCACTCCATGACCTTAATGTGACCTATCCATGACCCATCTTCAGTGTTCTAGCTGAGGGAAGTAGGTTGGCACATGACCCCACCCATTGGCTCCTCAAAGTGGTGAAGTGGTCCTGTACCCTTTGTAGAACAATAGCCCAAAGCATAATGCTTCCACCTCCATGCGTGACTGTGTTGACGGTGTTCTTTGGGACGTACGTAGGATTTCTCTTCCTCCAAACATGGCAAGTTGAGTTGATGCTGGTAAAGAGTAGAAGTACATTTACCTTGTTGAGCAGGGGAAACCTGCGGGCACTGCAAGACCTTGATGCATTATATTGAAGTTTGTTACTGATGGTGTTAATTAACAAGCTCTTCCTGTGTAGTTTTGGAGTGATCCAATAGGCAGTAAAAGTTTAAATATAAAGCAAGTGCCAATCAGACATTTTGCACAGTGGATCAACATTTTGAAAAAATTGGTACTTTTCTGCATTCAGCATTCCATCACTCTTGACAAAATCCCCAACGGTGTTTTACGGATGGCTGTAGACTCTCACTGCTGTACCACTCACCTGACCTCTGATGTACAGGTTGATGATGATTTGAAGCAAAAATTTCAAATTTAGATTCATTATTCCATAAAACCGGATTTTAGCATTCCAGTTCTCATTTGATTTGGCAAATGCTGGCCTTTTCTCCACTTTTTCCTTCCTTAAGAATGCCCTCTGGGGAGCCACCCTTCTACTGAGACTTTTTTCATTGTTTCTTAATGACATGACTTTCAGATACTGTTCATCTGTTACGGAAAAAAGATTGGGTATGCCACTTTTTCTTTTGCCCTGCATTTGTCCTGTTTCCTCAAATTCTTTAAGGACACACTGCAGACCATGATGAGATATGCAAAGACTTTAGGTGATAGCTCTTTGGGACTCACCTTGTTGGTGCAAAAACACTGTTTTATGCCTGTAACTGCCTTATCTTTTGGGATATGGGGACAAATTGTGTGTTTTTTGCAACAGACTGTTAGCAACAAAATGCCCTAAAGATACATTTTAAAATTGATTCTTTGCCAAGTTGTCTGTTATGTTTACACACAATACTGTTTCATCTTTTT